ATTAAAAATAAAATCAATATACGTTAACGTGTATTTTTTTGCATCATTCCTTAAATCTATAAAAGTAACGTAATCCTTTCTAATTATCTGTAGAAGTCTCGGGTCAAGGAATAACCTATTTAATAGATTAATTATAAAAATAACACTTTGTAATTATTTTCATGATATCTGGAGACTTTAAAGCAACTATTTTTTAATTAAGTAATAGTTGCATACCGTTATTATCAAATTTTATATTATTCAGTATCATGGAAAAATTTAAATATAAAATGTCAAATATAATATATTCAAGTTCATGGTATGTGCGTTCGAGAAAAGAAGACACAGTGTATTTACATCTTCACGGCTAACTAACTCCACTGACACGCCCATAATCACAAACAGTGACTGCTATTGGTCGATAACGGTGACGAAGATTATCGGTCACTGTCTTTGGCCAATAACGGTCAGTGCCTGTGATTATGGGAGTGTCAGTGGAGTTAGCTGTGAGGATGTGAACACGCTATCTTCTTTTCTCGAAGGCACAGTACATGACTTACATTAGAGGTCGTTCTCGAAAATTTATGAAGTTTTTCTGCTTCTTCAAAGTTTTAAATCAATGTCAATCGTTAACACGTATAAGAAAATTGTAGTATACGTACGTGTACGTATATCCAATACTAGTACAATTTATGCCAGTAGTATTGCGAATGTTATGAATAATAAAAATAGTTATGAGAACCTTTTTTTCATTTAAGTATAAACTTGTTAAAAGTTATAAGGACTAAGAAGTTTATCAATTTTAATATTTCTAATTTTTATAACAATAGGGTAAAATAATTCCTATCTCGTTGGAAAAACTAAGAATTAATAATAAGACGCAGTTTTATGTATTTCTGAAGGAGCTTATTACTCGCTGAGAATGATTTGTAATGTATTTGGATATTGATCAACGACTTGTATAATGACTTGTTGAGAGTTATGTGTTCGCTCTTGCCTCTCATGAACGACTGACTCCGCGATTTATGATCTTTGTAAGCTAAACAGTGCCCAAGGACCGTCAAAGGACCGTTTTCCTGATTCGCAGATATTTGGATGGAGGGTAAGCCCTCGGTCCACGAATCAGTTGTCCCTAAATAAGGGAGGAACGTCCTCTGCAACAAGGTCGCTGGTAGAGGAAATCCCTCCTTCAGAGTAGAGTTGTTGGAAGGCCACCCGCACATTCGTGACCCTTCTTGAGAGGTGACCGTGAATTTATGGCTTCGAAAGTCGTGGCTATCGCATATGGCCTGATTCTTTCTTTTTGACAGGCCTATTGTCAGCCAAATCCTAATTGCTATTGCCCAGTTTCTAAAATTAGGTGCTAAAGGTTGCCTTGTATCCGGTGATCCGAGGAAATAAAGAACAGTTTGCAAAAGTGTACCGTAAACGGATAAAATGGAAAATACCGAACATGAAATAAGTCAGCACTTAGGGTCTGGCTGCTATAAGGCCGTAACGGGTCTTCTGGGATTTCGTGTTGTATATTTTATTACAATTTTATAATTCTATTATTTCCATTTAACATGATAAAATATGTTGAAATTTGTTAATTATGTTTAAAAAAGTTGCAAATTAAAATATGTACGTATCTTAAATTTCTTTTTTCGTTTTTAAGTTTGCTATCCATGAATATAGTAGTTTGGTAAATGAGGTTTGTATAAATGTAAATCATGTCAAAAAGAATTTACAATTATAATTATATTTATTTATAATACTTTCTCTGACATTTCCAGTTATACTTATTATATTAATGTATGCTCTGTTTGCGTATATTTTCATCCTAATAAATTTGTTTGAAAATTTAATAGTGCCAAATTCTAAAAAATAAACGTGATAAACATATCTGAATTATTCAATATACTTTTACATATATACATAAAATAATGCAAAATATACAAAATAAGTAGTACATAGTCAAAACCTTTTAAAGGCAGAACATATATTTACCCAGTTTCCATTTGTTGCTAATGTATAGAAAATATCGAATAAATAATAAATGGATAATACATACAGTTGACACTGTATGAATAAATCCAATTTGTTATTTGAAACAAAATTTACACAATTTGGTCTATGGGATGCTATCTTTTTTGTTCATTTAACCAATGAAAATGTTCATGGCTCGTACAAGGTGCGCGCTGAAGTTACAAATGGGAGAGGAGCTGCGCACTTTCACACGGATCCGAAACTTTCATACGGTTTATCTGCTCCTGGCCACACGCACGAGAAGCGAGCATTCGTTCCCTTTTCCCGTTCTTTTTCTATAGGATATAATTTTCTATTATCACATAAACGCATCTACTCGCTTCCAGTTTCCCAGCTGATTTGCTGAATCGTATTACCCTTCTTTTCTCTCGTGGCCGGTTCGCGAAGCATTATTTATTATGGTTGTCGGTACAGTAGTAAACGAAAAAGCCGTTACGTGCTTGGCGTTGATGCTCCTTTGGCATTGAGAAATTTAATGTTCTTTTATTCCTTAGGAAAGTCTACATATTAATGATATATACTTTCTTTATATACCAACTTGGATCTTATAAACCTACTTCATCCAAACTGTTTTAATTTTATTATTAATAGGTATCCAAATTTTTCAACCAAACTATAATTTTAGAATATATTTTTGAAGATTGTCTAATTTAAATGATATATTAATTAAATTTTTCTGTAAATAATTTCATATTGTATCTCCAAATATTATCCTTAAACCATGTGTACTATTTAACTTTGTTTATTATTTATAGTAGGTTTCATGTTTTGTAGCTTCTTCTGGTAACCTTCTTAGAAGATACTCAGAATAACTACTTTGTATTTCAAGACGTGCCTGTAGACATCTTGTCATTTGCTGGTTACCCTTTCAATATTTCCTGATGTTATTTAAAGTTGAAAATCCGATTCAGTTACACAGTTCACTACTTGAACAATTTCAATAGATACAATTATCCTTACAAGTTAAAATCTAATGGATTTAAATTCAGAGAACAAATATATCACGTAATATCACCTTCATATCCAAACCATTTATTTAAAAATTTATTTCAAACTTACCCAACTACATCATTATGGAATTAATTTGGATTATTTAATTTCAAGGTAGACGTCTTAAAATACAAAATAGTCATCTTCAGTATTGCGGATGTAACAAGGTTGCCTAATGGTAAAGCATAAAACTCGCAGTATCTCATAAACAAAGTCAAACAAGACACGTGCCTACGTTAACTTTCTTCATTGTTTTCTACTGCTGAATCAATCCTAGAAGTAGATCCTACGTATTACAGTACACCCTGTATATCCGTATCATATTCTTTGATCATGAAATCCGCTTTTGGAGACAGATTTCCTCCTTTTACGTAAGAGGAAGTAATATAATAGCCACGCGACAAGCAGAACGATCTCCGTAACACGACTGGAGCTTTCATTTGTCTCGCAGAATGTCCACCTTTGTCCTGCAGTGACGAACTAGGCAACACCGCACGAGAGAGCATCTGCGCAGTCGCACACAGATCGCAATCGCATTCGGAGATAACATCGAAAAGAGAAAACAGTAAAAGTAATCTCATTTTTGTTCTGTTAGTTCGATCGTGAAAATTGATCTAGAAACGACGTAGCTCGTTTCGAAAATCGATAAAAACATCGATGTTCTAGCAAATTTACGTTTGTCATAAACGCGTATCGTGTTTTAGAGAAAGCGGACGAACGTTAAATCTTCTTCTATTTTTTCTTTCTTCTCTTTTCTTTCCTCGCTTTCGTTGCAGTTTTATGAGTCTTTGTCTCAAATTCAGATGCCCGTACAAGGTGTCCACCATTTTCCCCTGTAAACGCTATTTTTATTTCACGCAATCCGCGGCGAGCGTTTCCCTGGTGAGAGAGAAAGTCGAAGGAGCCACGACAGCCGCGGTATAGTTGAGGACGATGGCAATGAATCTTCTTTTATTTCCATTTCCGGAATTGTGGGTCAAGTTCTTGCCCGAAAAGCCAGATACAGCTGCTGCATGCGCGACTGGGCTCTGAGCGTGCCTCTCACGAAGGCGAAAGTTACTTCCACGCTCTCGGGGACCGCTTCCGTTAACGTGATATCCAAATATACTTTCGATATTACAACATCGAAGCCGTCGTGAAATTTTTTTTATTCGAACTATAATTTTTTTATAATATTTATTTTTTAATAACCTGGGTTTATAACGAATAAAAATCAATACATTAGAGGTCGCTTTTTCTCAACCTAATTGTCCTAATTGTTTTAAATTTTCGTATTTTTTTGTACTATTCTCTTTCCTTTTTTGTATATCTTGAAAATTTAATCACTGTTCGTAATGAAGCATATAAGTTTGTACTGCAAACAGGTGTTTACTTAACCTAACCTAACCTCCAGTAGAATGTTAGTCAGGGATAATATTGTAAAAATATATTGTTCGGAATTTCTCTGTATGCTACATTTTTGATTTTGATAAATTAATAGTGTAAATAATAAAAAAGAGTAGAAAGAAAAGCAAATTAATTAATATGACCTCAAAAAAGAAAGAAAAGAAAAATTTTTTATAAAGTTTCTTAAGTTGTCTTCATATTTTGATCATTGAAACGACGAGTATGCATGATCAAATGAGAATGAACGATTTATTAATATTTTTTAAACAACGATAATAATAAATGTAAAATAGCAATAATAATATTTATGACGAAAAATTTGTAAATTTATACAAATCGAATTATCTTGAAGCAAGAGATACAAGATACGTCACTTTAATAAAAACAATTATTGACACGTGTATTCTAGGTTAATTTAAAAATGAGAAAAAACCTGTTATGTGCACGATTAGTATTTCTTTATAATTCAAGGAAATCTTAATTTATATAAAAAAAATAATTCAGTAGAATACTAAAATCACGAAATAAAAACAAGTTGCAACAAAAAACTGCGTTAAATCATTTTATTTAAGTTAGCATGCGCATGGTTGACTTTGCAACTGATATTAATGTTACAGTTGGGCAGTTTCTACAGTAATGACAAGGTTAAACCTAATTCCGAGTGAGGACGGTTCACGCATGATCCACGCTTTGATCCCAATGTGGGACATGTGCAATCATGAGAACGGGAGAGTGAGTTTACTCATCTACGTTTAATATATATACTTGTAACATGGCCGACCGTCTATATTCCATCTGTTTTCGTTTTAGATCACAACAGATTTCAACGCGACATCAAACTGTTGCGAGTGTTATGCATTGAGAGATTTCAAAAAGGGAGAACAGATATTTATCAGCTATGGGCCGAGAACGAATTCTGACTTCTTCGTGCACACTGGATTTGTATACATGGATAACAAACAGGTACATAGCTGTTCAAAATTATTTGAAATATTATAATTATAGTATTTTAAGTTTTAATTTATTAATCTGGTTACAACCAGCGCATCTTTCAATTAAACAAACAACATAATATACGAAGAATATATTTAATACGTAAAAGTGGAAGTCATACTATCTATGTCATGGTAAAAAGTATTTTGTACACTTTTATGCTAGTATTTTATAGCTTTAATTTATTTAAACAGTACACAAGGACTAAATGACAAAAGATGAATTAATTCTTGCATACATCAAATATGTTGATATCATAATAGTATTTCCACTACATATAATAATAATAATAATAATAATAATAATAAAGTATTTCCACTACATATAATAATAATAATAATAATAATAATAATAATAATGATAATAATGATAATAATAATAATATAATAATAATAATAATAATAATACAATAATAATAATAATAACAATAACAATCTTAAGTATAGATGGCTCCATTGTTGAATAAGTAAACGATTTATTCATAAAAAGAGAAATGTTTTTTAATAATAAATCAACTTGGTTAAACGAATATTTTTTTTGTAGGATGGCTTTAAATTACGACTTGGGATCAGCAAAGCTGATTCTCTTCAAAAGGAACGTATAGAATTATTGAATAAATTAGATCTACCGACAGTTGGTGAATTTCTATTGAAACCGAAAACAGAACCTATCTCCGATTTCCTGTTAGCGTTTCTGAGAGTATTTAGTATGCGCAAAGCGGAACTGACACATTGGATACAGTCAGATCGTGTTAACGATTTGAAGCATATGGATTGTGCATTGGAAACTGTCGTTGAGGAAAACGTCAGAAAATTTCTGCTCACTAGACTGCAGCTGCTAATTGCTAATTATCCAACGACTCTGAAGGTGAAAGTGAAATAAGACACTGGTTTGAAGTACAAAGCAACGCCGTACCGGCGTAAAAATAGCAATTCTCGTCTTTTAATTGTTTCTTTCTCTTTTTCTTTTTATAGGAAGATCTGCAACTACTTGAAACGACATTACCTCAAATCAAGAAGTTAGCCATTCAATTAAGAGTAACAGAGAAGAAAATTCTTCAAGGTGCGCTCGAATACGTAGAACAATGGATTAAAGCATAAGAATTTGACAAGTGAATTTGAATTTCTCGGTGGAATTAAATTTTTATTCTTATTCCTAAATAAATCTTACAATGAAATATAATTTTTATGAATCTCATTTAACTGTGGTTCTGAAACTATGAGAAACTGAATGTAGATTATTTGACTAATGATTGAACGTATATATATAATAACGTGCAAAGTGACGAAGGACAGATAGAAATGGGAACAATGGTGTAAACATTAAAATGTATAAAATATCGAACAAACTATATATCTATGTGTATTAACAAGTATACAATGCAAAATAATTGCGTGTTCCACGATATCGTGATTCTTGTTTTCAAGAGATGAAAACTTCGTAAGCACAAACTCTTTTTAAAACTAAGATTGATGTTTCCTCATCAATTACATTTTGATCTGTGTGCTAATCGAGTTTCTAATCTCTGATTACAAGACTTTGCAAATATAATACTCTTATTTCAGCTTTGATAAAAAAAAAAGAAAGAGAAAAATAACATGTACAAACAAAATGTTACTATTCATGAATATTTATTTTTTAAAGGAAATAGTTAAGAGATCTACTTCTTTATGTAAGCTATTGTGCGATATTACACGGGCCTACAAAATCAGACTTACAAATGATTATTAATACGCCATAAGATTTATCGATAATTGTCTAACTGTACGCATAAAAGTAAGACAAACAGCGAGTTCCAGATACTTCTCAGCCATTAAAATTGTATTGTATCATGTTTACCCCTCAAAATTTTATGCGATTATACTTAAGGGGAAATTGAAGGCAGTACGCTTATTGTGAATGGTAACTATATATACATATATGAAGAAAATATATCAATGTATTTAAATAAAACTATATAAACCAATCCAATCGCACATAACAAAGAATAACAAGATAGAATAATAATTAATTAGAAATAGCTACAGCAGGACTGATAGCTCTGTGTATTGTTTTTTTCAATACATTGGGGCAGACATGATACAGCCAAATGCAAATTCACGTTAACTTAACATTACATATTCCTCTAATATAAAACACAGAAAATTCACGATGTGATTACATTACTTTAATAAACTGCTAAAAAATTACCTCTATTATCTGAATCAAAAAGTTCTATATATTATTAGAGAAATTACATGAGATTCTTAATTATATTATTTAAAATAATATCATTCATTTTGTGACGATATCAGTATCTCGAGTAGGTGAGCGTGATGATTCTGTATTTTACATTATTGCTAAAAAAATATACAGATATATGTTTATTCTCGAGAGAAAGTGAGGCGAAACTGTAAGACAGTTTATTTTAGAACTTTTTGATCAGATAAAATCGAATATATTTATCGATAATTTATAAGTTATTTGTTGCCAGTCATATTTAATCGAGTTTAATATATACTACAGTGTGACTGATTTATAACAACGGCACGTTTCATTATTATGAGTAATTTTTAGCTTTCAGATCTTTTATGATTTTTTTTCATTTCCATCATCCGAAATTTGCAATATTACTTTATATTTATATCGCATTTTGCAATTCGATTTTATTGTTTGTTAAGGTTAGGTTATTGTTTCCGCTAGTATAATTTGCAGATTGATTTTTTAATTCACGAAGTATTACTTCACTGACAGATTCTTCTTTTTGTTCTCCATTGCAGTCGTCTTTTAATACTTCCTTCTTGACATTTTCAATGTCATGATCTTCCTGAAGATGCAAAACTAAAGAAGGTAAGGCATAAAATATTTTGTCACAAAGATTGCACTGAAATGTCTTGCCATCTGCAGCTTGCAAGCAATATTCATAATCTTTCATAGAGCTATATGTCTGTCTATGCAATGCCAAATGCTTTTCATGATCCATAGCAAGAATAAATTCATAAGAACAAATTGGACACTTTAAGTTATGTTTTGTCCACATTGTATGTGCTTTTAATCTGTGTAAACTGTCATAAACCTTACCACAAACAGGACACTTCATACATTTATGATTATTTAGGGTTTCTCTGCTCTCATACAATCCACTACATTCTTTACATTGATAAGTTCTTTCTCTTTTACATGCATGTTTAAACCAATGCTTTTCTAACTGTGGTAATAAATCGAATACTAATTTGCAAAGAGTACATACAAATCTTCCTCGATGATCTCTTTTCATAGTGAAGTTTGATGCTCTTATGTCCCAATGCTTCTCAAAATTATTCTTACGCATTAAATTTTCGTTACAAAATTCACATTGGTCTTGATGTTTAGATAAATGAGTGAATAACATACCAGGCTCAGTATTGGTATAATTACAAAAGGAACATATAAATGTATCATTTTCCTTGTACATATGAGAGTACAAGTGCTTTTGGAATGAATTTGAAGTGAAAAACATTGCACCACATGCTGGGCATTTTAAGTATGGTTTACCTCTTTCTGTATAATATAATGGTAAAGGTCTAAAGCTTTGTAACCAGCCAGTATTATCTTTGGAATCTAAAATATTTTGTTGATCCATAGAAGATTCTTCATAATCTATTTCTTCCATTGTTGGCACACGTTCATCTATATCAGTTGAAATAATCGAATGCTCCTCCTCTTTTATTTCAACTATTGGTTCATGCTTGGGTATTAATTTTCTTAATAATAGCATTTTATTGTGTCGTTTAGAACGATGTCGAGATTTAGATTTCTTACTAGCTAAAGAGCGTTCATTATTTAATTTCTTTGTTATTAATGCATTATCTGATTCTAGCTGCGTTATTATTATAAAATCTTTATTATTAGGTACAGAAGTAACATACGATAAAGGTGAGTCGGGTCTTAAATCATCCCAGTCACTGACAGTTGATTCACTTGTAATTTCAGAATCATTTTCAATTGATAAAAGGTCAGAGGATATATCATCTTCCTGAGATTCAATGTCATCAACATCTTCTGTGGAAAGAAGTGCTGTTCTTAATATTTCTCCATTTGCTATTGGATATTTCTCTTTTTCATAATTTTCTCCATCATTTCTTCTTTCATTGCTTTCTTTATTTTGCATTGTGGCTTTTGAAAAATCCTTACATTCTGAATCTTCTAATGTCAACATTCTGTGTTTGTAAAAATTCTACGATTTGTACCAATTACTGTAATATAGAAAATAGGATGTTATTCGGATTATAAATTGTTTACACGAAAAGTTCTTAAAGATAGAACATAACCTCGTTTTCTTTTATTCGCCGCATCTTTTACATTTATAACATTCAATTATAACAAAACGATAATTAAACTAAAACCTTAAACAGTCATTACCAATGATCAGGCAAACAAAGTATACTTACATGTGGACATTTAACGTGGCCCCTAAACATCGATTTGTATCTGCGTGGAATTCTTTAAAGACGTATCAGAAGACGGACAAAAAAAGTATATGCTAGGACGCAGATCTGTCATTCAATTTTCAAAATTCCACGTGAAGCTTGTAACTCTCGAAGTCCTCATTATTATTTACACTTGAATAACTTTGATCAGCTGTTTTCTGATTACACAAAATTGACAGGACGTCTTGGTGCGCGTCCAACCGATGACCTGCCGATGGTGACACGAAAAGTATCTCTCAACTTCTCTACTCTAAGTTTCTATAATGTACCATGTAATTTTTTTAACGCAAAAGGAGGTAATTCAAAATCCTTTACACAACTATTAAAATGCTGAAAATTACTGTTAGTTTTGAAATATAATGGATTGCTTTTTTTATACTAAAATACGTTCTGTTTCGTTTTATTAAAATATGAGAGACAACCCCAATTGTCTTACACACATAGGATGTGAAGTTGAGAAACACTTTCACAGGAATAAGGTATGTAACTGTATGCAGATATAGAGGTGTAAGAGAATACAGGGATTTATTAAAACACGTATTCTTTTTAGGATCTGTAGCCGTATTTATACAGAATTATTGTTTCTCAATATTTTTATTATAATCAACATAGGAAAAACAGGGGCGTAAGAAAAAAAAAACAATGGGAAATCTCAAGTATTTCGTTCAATTGTAATTAAGACTACTCTACATAAAATTACTCTACTAAAAAAAAGACTACTCTACTAAAAATTTTAATATCCTAACATCTTTGATAGTGTTACCGAATTAGATATCAAAGTTCATAAATCATTATATTTATTATCAACAAATTTTTCTCCCTTTTACTAGTATATACACAAAACTACTGCATAGAGTTATTAATCTAACAAATATTATAACACTTATTTTCAAAATTTTCAAGTAACATTCTAAACTGTATATCAATAAATATTATTTAACTTAAACTTTGTAATAATTAAATACTAATATTTCATTTGAATCCACATTCGATTTTAAATGATATTGTTTTCCTTCCGAAAATATTCTTTTAATTATTGTCCGGTTTCTTGTTCTCGCGTCCATGACCGTAATCGGGAACGTAGGGAAGAGGTGGGTAGCCGTAACCGTGGCCGTGACCGTAGTTGAAACCAGGGCCCAAACCGTGGCCGAATCCGTGACTGAAACCATGGCCAAAACCGTGCAGGAAGCCGGCGCCAAAACTATGAAAAAACTGCGCGAGCAACGGTGGATAAAAGTGACCGCCGCCATAATCTCGACCGTCGCAAACTACCGGACCAACCGCCATTGGTGGCGGTGGGGCCGAACTTGGAACTGGAGCCGGAAGCGGAACTGGTAATGCTTGCTTTACCGGCATTGGATACGATTGTTGTACTGGCTCTGTCATCGGTTCTTTTACGGGAATTGGCATTGCGCGTTCTAACGGAGCCGGAACAGCCTACGGAATAAGTGAATTCAATCAATTATCAGTATCAACGAAGCACATTCCATGAATGAAAGTAATTCCACGAAATGTGGGACACTTGAGAAGAAATGTAGACTTTAAATGGTAAACGACGCAAATGCTAAAAATAGTATACCGTAAGTGTAATATACATATAAATGAATTTAAATAATATCATACATCTTTTATCATTTATTTTCTCTCTATAAAGGTGCTAAACTTTAAAATTATTTTTTATGCGTATATGCATATTAAATTTTGGAGGACAAAGCTATGCAAAAAGTAATTGAAAATTTAAGGACGATTTCCTACCGGACCGGGAAGTGGAGCCGGTTTAGGCATCATCTCGGCCGGAACAGGCATGCGTTTTTCGATGTAAACTGGCTGTGGAATCGGAATTGGCTTCTCTAAGACCACATGTTTCGTTATGACTAATGGAATTGAGTTTAATATATTTCCGCTTGGCAAAGGAAATACTGGTCCTCTACCATAACCTAGTCCGCCACTTAATCTATAACATACAAAACATTATGAGTATTATCTGAAGATTTGAAAAAAGTATTCTTTGACATTTTTGGAAATGTTTTAGACTGAGTACTATTTGTATGCTTTTGATAAATGGTAATTATTGTATATATATTTATTACTATTATATGATATTTCTGTAATGTAATTAATTATATCATTTATTGAACATAAAATACTACAGAAATCATTATTGCAGGGTCTTTCAACAAAATATTATTTCTGAAATATATGACAGCATTATTAAATTTTGTTATACTTCCACTAATATTAGATGTACAAAATGATAATAAATTTTCAGAAGTATCCTAGAATATTAATAATTATTAGTATGGAATTTTTTAATTTTCAGTAGTTGCTTAAAGAATACAAGAATTTAGAAAAGTAAAATGTTTGATTTCAAGACAGGAATGTATACAAAAATTGATAATTAAGTGTTATTTTTAATTAATTAAAATAATTTTCATATATTTCCTAAATGTTGATCAAGTTAAATTCTCATTTAGAAATTTATGCATTTATGATTTTAACTTTTTTTATTTATTTAGCATAAAAATCAACTAATTCTCAGAATAACTAAATAATCTGTTAAATTGTGATATTTATTTGTTAATGTTATGGTGTTAATGTTAATATAAATTCTTGTTAATGTTTGTTTATAAAAAAAAGGAAAATTTATGGCCTGTGCAATTTGAAAAGTTGGATAAACCAAATCAATTATTCGACAATAAAAGTGACGTTGGTGTATTTAAAAACAATAAGTTTCAAAGTAGTATTACCCCCTGTGTGCTAAGTTAAAAGGAGGTAACTTAAGTCCTCTCCAATCCGGCTTAATTAGCATCGACTGTCCACCGCTGTCTCCTCGAGGATTTGGCATACCAATCCATCCGTCAGGTTCTACTATTCCTCGTTTACTCAGTTTCGTATCGTTTGTTTCAGCAGCTAACGCATAACTGCAGAAAAATATCAGGAATAGCTGAAATTCAATGTTCTCAAAATTATTATAAGATTCGTGTAAAATTAATCCAAGCTAATACTGAAAATATTTCAGTTATCAAACAATAACAAATCAATAACAAACAAAAACCAATAATAAAATAATTATCAAACAATTTGCTAATCACATACCAAAATTAAGTAACTTTTGGAAAAAGGAAATAGAAACACATGGAACTTATTTTAATCAGACATATGGCATTTTAAAAAATTTACTCATGTCTAAGATGTTATTTAAAAAACGGTGTTACAAAATTGAAGAACAAAAGAAAATCTGCACAACTGTTAAAGATATTAAATAAATCCTAAACAATGAGAAAATAATAGACTTCTTTCTAAAAAATTGTTTAATTCAAAGAAAGAGATTGTGAACATATTTAAAAAGTGTAAAATACAGTATAATTATAAAATTTTTATTTAAACAATTTCAAAACTAGTATAATTTTAATTAATTTTAATAAATATATGTTAACCTATTTTAATTACTTAAAAATTATTCATAGACTTATTTTAATTCACCTCATGATTAAAAGTTATTAATAAAATTTATAATTTTTAATTAAAAACCTGTATTTTCTAACAAAATTACTTCTTGCGTAAATTTTGGAACACCCAGTATATGTATATCTAATGTATTGAATTCACGTTTCTTTGAGTGTTTGAGAGTTGAGTGAATTACGAGAAATTAGCACCTGTGAGAAAAATATTTAATCATTACAAAAAAATGTAATTGATTATCTTTTATCTCAATTATTTATTAAGTAACAATTTAATAACTGAATATTATAATTTGCTATCTGAAAAATAGAGCAACTGCCATACTCGTGAATTATTACAATGGTAAATATAGTCATTTCGTTACTTCAATGAAGAAATGCAATGTAAATTAGAAATATAATTAAAACAAAATGATTACATACAAGTTTTATTTTCACTTTGTGTCAAAGTATTAAATTACTTGTTTGTATTATGATATAATAAATATTTTTTTTTCAATGCCAGTTAGAAGGAATAGTCTATAATAGACATGAATTTACATTATGGTAACTATACTATCTGATGTTAGAATACAATCTTGTACTTACTGTAATAAATTCTTTAAATAAGAATGGAAAGCAATACAGCACTACAAAATTGTAAGATAAAATTAATACCTATATATAATACTTATATAGTGTATATAGTATATGTAGTACTATATTATACTACTTTCTTATACTATATACAGTATGCAATAGTTATGTCGATCATAAGTAGTATGTATAATATAGATATGTACTGTATTGTATAGTATATGTATACTATGTATAATATGGTAATATATATAATATATGCTTCAAAAGTAAAAAGTTTATAAATATATAATATAATTGATTATACATCAAATAAGTAGTAAAAGGATAGTAAAAGAATGAAATATAATAATAAATAAAAAAGTTAACTATTATTCTGATAATAGTATGTGTAAATATTTTCTACAGATTTTTGAAGGTTAATTGCTATTAGAAGACACGTAGATGATCTAGGTAGCCTTTGTTCGGCACCGTAGAATCTAGGGATCCCTAGATGAAATGCCGAGAAATACCAAAGCGTTAGTTGTCGATATGTTTAATAATAATTCCCTTTAAATTCTTTCTAACAGTGTCTATCTTTAGTTGGATCGTTTGAGCCTTCGAATGACAAGAATTTGTAAACTTAGTGTTGCCATTAATTTATCACGTCTGCTGCACAGTGTTGCAGATTTCTTGGCGTACTTGGCTCGTATCCAGGAATGATCAAAGAATTACAATTCACTGGATGTATTCGAGTTTACTGATCACACTCAAACATTCCAAGCCATTCTTGAGCGAAATAGACAGGAAAGCGACTTAAGTAAATTGTTACAGGTAAATGTCTTTTAAATGCGACGAATAGACTATAGACGTCTAAATGTATACTTAAAATTGATAATAAAGTTGAACCTCAATAAAAATTATCTTTAGAAAGTTTCAATGTGTTATTTAAAGTACTACTTATTTTACATGTTTCATATATATTGTATATTATTTTTAGAGATATGTACTTACAGGAAGAGATGAACATGTTCCATATGAGTTGATAATTTTTATTTTTTAATCTACCGAATCCTCGTACAAATTTAACAGAAGCGGGAACTCATATGAACGCTATACTCTATGGCCAAGTAGAACATAGAGATACGAATATATTGATGGACTACAATGCGACATTCAAATACTCTTAGCAGAGGAATTTTATATTTTATCAATTGGTATAATAATGGTCATTATTAACATTATTTAAGTGTTAGTTATTTAAATGTAACAATGATAATTATTAAATTACCAAGCTTTAGGTAATTACATGAAGTAATGATAATAGCTAATTAATATTGTTATCATTTACCAAGTGTTAGGTATTTAAATAATGATTTTAATAGTAATAATCATGATTAACGTCACTACTTAGAAAATATTCAACACCACCAAAACGTTATAGATCCTCATCGATATTTAAATATTTATTTATTTTTCATAGACAAATTCTGACGGCTGTATACCAATTTTGCTTCAACAATGTTTTAAAGCGAGAAATTTTTTGAAGGCTTAATATAATATTCTGACACTGGTAAAAACGATTCTATTATATTCTGCGGATAATTTAATATTAAATTTAAAAATATTAATTTCGAAAATAAATTTCTCTGCATAAAGTCTGATATTGAATATAAATTATAAATGTGTATATAAAGTTCTAGGAGCCATCTGTTACGATATACAAATAAATTTTAATAAAACTCGATGAAAATTAACAGCAACGATCTGTTACCATACAGCATTAAAAATGGAATATAATATGAAGGATCTCACAATGTCAGAGAAAAATGCAAATTTAGAAATTCAAAATTCACTCTACCAAAAATAATATCAAAAATTTTTTCGTACTTCGTACACAATTACATTCTTCAGAGTGCTCCATTTCTCATAATGCAATAAAGATACCACAGATGCAAGAAATAAGTCGAAAATATCAAGAAATCAAGAAAAAAATATCAAACTTAAAATATGTATCTTCAAAAATCTTTTGAATCCAAAATCAATGGTAAAATATTTCTAAAATCGATAATTTCTATGCATAAGTAACTTAATTGATATTACTTTGCAGAAAATGGTAACGTTTCACTTGACACACCCTGTACATCGATAAAATGGTAAAAAGAATTTTAATTTGATTATTCGTTGGAATAAATCGAAGAAATCGAAGAGATCAAAGGAAACGAATATTTAATTGATAATTGTATTTTGTAATTATGTTCCTTACCGTGATCATAGACATGTCGGTCTCGTCGAGAAGAAACTGTTCGTTAGATCGAGAAAACCGAAGCTTTATATATTCCTTGTCCAACGAGATAAACAGATCGATCGATTCAGATGGTCAAAGTCAGGTTGCCCTGTTTGATAAGTCCAGGAACTCGACTCTGTTGATTGGCTGCTTTCATGTTTCCGGAGAAGAAAGTGCTCAAGAATTATAATGAAACTCGCTTACATTTACACTATATTGGATGTTTACATGTAATGATCTTGAACTTTCAGTTTGCACTGGAAGTTTCGCCTAAACGAATTGTTTCAGCGATAGCATTTCGAGTGATCTGATAGAGAAACTGCAAGCGTATTTCTTCTTCTCTGGTGACATACGTGTATGAAGAGGAGGGTACCTAAACTTGGTCTATTGTGAGAAGAATCTTCATTTTTAATAGCGTCACCCTACATCGAGATCTATTTTGCTTCGAGGAAAATTGGTAAGCTAGATGGTTCCTCGAAGTTAGGTTGAATGACAAAACGAAATTAGGCAATGGGCTGATGTCATAGAGAGGTATAGGAACTTTGTTGACGGGTTCGAAGGGGACAATTTTCCGCAGTCCACCATGCTGCACGCATCACAGAAAACCTCGAGCTCCCGTTTATTTTATAATACCATCAAGAAATTAAAAATATAACTAAGAATAGAAGTTCATGTTTATAAGCAATCTTTAGAATAGACGACGTAAACAGTCAGGCGACACGCAGTCTGCGACTGTTTACGTCTGAAACATTTACAACTAGTGATGACGTGATGATCTCTTCGAGGCGAAGAGCAGTCAGTCCAATAAAAGGAAAGTCTTCGAAACTTTCATATACTCCTCCATCCTTCGGCCATAAATATTAAATGTTAAATATTATTAACCCCCTCTTTACCACACTAGTCAGGATATTCTGTGTTATAGTTCCCACATAGATAATAATTTTTGTTATGATATGTAATATATAATACATGTCTATATTTGTTATGATAGTAATTTAGTAATTTTGGAGGTTAACATGATGTTTGAAAGATTTACTATTGTGTATTTAAACTTGGTCTAGAAGGATTATAATGTAAAGAATTTCTTCAATTCTTTAATCCTATGGTGATATTATAGAGATTCAGTTGTTTAGATCTCATGGTATGTGAGGTTATCTTGAACTTACAAGAAAGGATAAAGAGGGTTGTTGTGAGAATTATTTATTTACTATTGCTATGATTTCTAGATGATTTGTGTAGATTATTGAAAAGATAAGTTTAGTTATATACAAAAATCAATCTAGAATATAAGATGCGAATAAATAGTTTATAAGACCTAGATTCCGAGAACCGATGTTTATATAAATGTTAGATAAGAATTGGAAGTTAGGCGAACTGTGTCACATACTCTTTTGACATTCTTTAACGAATCGATATACCTTCCTTGAGTAACAAAAGAATTTGAAAAAGAAATATATATATCGTAGTTATTTTAAAATTATAATGGTGGCCAACCCTAACCTCACTTCGGACCTCCCTTCTCTGTACACGAAATAATTTTATGTCGATCAGTCACTCTAGAAAAGAACACGAAGTTAGATATACTCTCCTTGAGTAATAAAAGAATTTAATAGAGAATATATATTGTAGTTATTTTACAATTATAAATCCAAAATCTCAATATAGTATATAATATATAAAGAAAAATGTCGTCTGATTAGTAAATAAAGAAAAATAGATCATTCCTTTTGACTTAAATGATTTTTAAAATAATTTTATCCTGTATAATTTCTAATTTCTAATTTGCAGCTTATACATTTTATTTTAAATAATTCTTTTAAATTTTTAATAATTATTTATTTACACGTTCTTCGTTAATTTGTCATATGAAAGAATTCTTTAAACATGATTAGGGAATCTAACGGCCATGTTGGTTAAGGATCGTGTGTAATAGTATTTCTAAAATTTTGATTATTTTATCAATTACTCGATTGATGAATTTTGTTTGGAAACATTTCGTAGATCGGATAGTCGATTGTACTACTTACCTACTTCTATTGTAATTATTTTCTCTATTGTTCCGAGCACGTATTGCAAAATGGAAGCGGCACGTGCAATTCGCGTTTTCTCAAATTCTCCGAAGACTTTTTTATAATTTCATCGGCGTTTTCGAAATCGTTTTTATTTTATCTCTAGATTAATTGACTTGTCCAATTTAATATTGATTTGTGACCAAAAGTGAATACTTTGATACAGCTGTTATGATAGTAGACTATATTTATATTGTAAATAATTGAGGGTATAACTTATACTACGATATTCAATATTTAAAAAATAAATAAAACTAAATTCATTATTTTTAAAATTTTTTGTTATAATATATAAGAATATTTTCTTATTATGTCAAAAGTCAATTTATTTAAAAAAATATTATTCCTATCCGAATTAAAAAAATGAGTTGAACAATTTAAAATTAAAAATCAAATTAAGGAATCTATAATTATACATATAATTACTATACGTAAATATATATATTGTATATACTATTGTACTATATATTACAAGTATTACAGTAATGAAAAATTCTATTAAATTACAAAAATCAAATTAAGGAATTTATAATTATACATATAACTACTATACATAGATATATACATATATTGTATATATTATTATACTATATATAACTAGTATTACAGGAACGAAAAATTCTATTAAATTATAATGATGGTTTAGCTAATAAAAACGAATATTTCACGATTCTTCTTGTGTTATCATAACATTGTCATAATCACATTCTCTATGATCATAACAATATTTCAGTTACAAAACGTAAATGCTGTAATTCAATTAATTCACTGAAAAGGATTCTCAGTTACGGTCTTTTTCATCATTACGTAATTTTACTTGTAATATGTACAAATTTCAAACCAACCACTCGCTCTCGAATTCAACTTCAGATAATCCAAATATGCTAACTAAAATGGTATAGAGTATGGTAGTTATTGCAACTTAATCTTCGCAATCATAAACAAATAGACCGTGATGTTTCGCTAAGAATTCGTGTCACGCTTCAGACCTGGTGAACGGGTGGCATTCTTTGGTTTCTGTAACGAAGAGCTGTTGCCTTTACTCGGCCAACGAGATCAACGAAACCGGCTGATCCGTTTCTTGCACCAGTGGCGCTAGTTTGTTTCCGCGTTGGCCGCGTCCGCGAACTTTCTTAACTTTCATTTTCTAATACGTACGAGCCACTTCTAATGCCGGCCACCATTAGCCATCCATTATTCATCGTTATGAATGCATAACACGCTCCAACCAGTTCGATACCTACAATGACGAAATAGTTAACGGTCAAGTTGGACGATTCTAATTAATCTCAATTCATTTTCATTCAAATAAAGTTGAATAATTGTTCTCCTCCTCCCTTTCTTTTCTTTTACAGGGTTAGGTTAGGTTAGGTTTACTTATATCAGTTATAATACTTAGATACGATTATTATGGACGATAATTAGGAGTGGATTATGAGTCAGGTTACTCGAGATTACTTAAATTTTACTATTTTAGAATCGATGGAAAATTGGTTATCAAGTGTGTTGTAAGTATAGTTATAAGTTATAGGAATTAGGATTGGGAAGATGATATTTCCAGTACTGTGCGTGCTTTTGTTTGATTCTAAGTAGAAAAGGAATTAATGAATGGAGGAATAGGTGTAATTTCATATGATTGAGAGTATAGTTGTGGGGGATAGTGGAATGCACTAATTTTGATTGAGTTATTGATCATGTTATTAGGAGATTGTTAATATTCTTATGGAAAGTTTTACTCAAGTACTATTTATTTTGCATATTTTTGTAAGTTCACGTATATAATATATAATAATGGTATAATATACTTGTATAATAATAATTTATTTTTCAATTCAAACATAAAGGCAATTTATACGTTATAAATTTAATTTATTTTTCTCACAAGGATTAGCTATTTATATATAGTAAAGATATTTACAATAATAGTAAAGGTAGGCCACTATAATCATAATAATAGTAGAGGTAGATTGCTATAATTATAATAACAGTAAAGATAGACTACTATAATTATAATGATAGTAAAGGTAGATCACTATAATTATATTAATAGTAAAGATAGATTCCCATAACAATAATAATAGTAAAGGTAGTACACTATAATTACATTAATAGCAAAGGTAGACTTCCATAACTATAATAATAATAAAGGTAGACTTCGATAACTATAATAAAAGCAAAAGTAGATTACTATAATTATAATAATAATAAAGATATAGCATTGTATAGTAGTGTAATAACCTTAAGGGCCAATACGACATTGCACAATATTATATAACACACAATTTTACTTAATGGTACTTAATCCCAAACATCACGCAATATCTAATAGTATATCTATATAATATTACATAATATAATTTAACACAATTAACAAGAGCACAGTAATAACACAATTAATACATATAAAATATAAGTTACTTCGTTGCTTTCATATTATATATCGCAAACATTGTCATGTGAATATATACACGATACGTGCCACACGACTTATGAATGATGCTTTTCCTTAATGCACATTTCACGCTTACGCAAACGCGGCATTGGTATTCCCCGCCGCGGCCACTGCAGCGCTTCCGTCGGGATATAACAGAAAGGAAGAAAAAATGACACCGTCTTCCACTCGCATAACCAGGTTGCTATACAAGCGTGTCACGAATGGACGCGCAGCTATTCTTATTAATTTGAATCTTCACGTAGACAATTTTCACCTGGCCGTAGCTAGCCTATCTGAACGATCTCAAAGACGATCCCAGTCACGTGAAACTTACGTCCACACTCGTCCTAACACGCGAATGATGATGCTTCTCATTCTCTTTTCCACATAGACGTGTTCGAAGCTAGCTGCATGAAAGAAAAGCGGTCACGACCGCTATTTGGCCATCACCCAGGATTGGTACCAGCGAAAGTCCATTCAGCTCGATGAAGACAACGATGTGCTCTTCCTACCGTGATGTGTCACCGGTGGATGCCCTATAAATACTTATGGGGGTCACCGATAGCGAGCAAACGCAGTTTTCCTTCGGCACCGTAGCCACTAGCTGGGATTTAGGAAGCCTCTCTGGGAACAGTCATGAAGATCATTTTGGTATATTTTCCTTCGTTCTTCCTCTAATCGTTTCACATATATGATCTTTTACATTTTTAACTGTGATATGGTTGTTTTTGGTATTATACCAGTGATAGAGTTGTGGTTACATTGGTCGGAGAACAGTGATCTCAGGGATGTTTGGCTGTTGAGGTGTTAAGTGATTAGAAGAATTTTTTTCTTTTATATAGTGAAGTTTTAATTTGTTACTCGGTGGTTTAATCATTAGAGAAAGTAATTAAGTTTGTGGATCTATTTATGTTATTGTATGTCACATATTTAGATGTTTTTATTTTATAAATGGATGTTTATTATTATTAATATTAATTTTCGAGATATAAAGGATTCTATTTATCTTTGACATAGAATTTGGTAAAATGAAAATGCGACTTTTATATTGATTGTACTTTGTTGCACATTGATTATTCAAAAGTGTATTTTATTTAAAAATCTGCCCTGTCGTTTAAAATTACGGTCTGTGTAAAAAATACTAGGTATAGTGTGTTTTTATTTAAATACAAGTCTACAGTTATCACACTATAGAATTGTTTTAAAAGAAAAAATACTTTTTTGAGAAGAAAAAGATTATCAAAATTATAATTGAATTATCACTATAATTATTATTCAAATTATTATTAAATTTATTATTTAAATTAGCTAAATTATTCTACATTTATAAACAAAAGTTATTTAAGTATAAAAATAGTTATAACTCGTATAAATTATAAAAATTTATCTTTATTTTTATATCCTTACGTTGTGATGTCCTCTATACTCACGCATATTTGACTTTTTCCTAGTTTCTACTATCCCTATTCCTGGTAGGGAGTGCAGCAATTACTGTCCAAAAGCACGAGAAAAATAAATCAGTCATATTAAAGAAACACGACAAAAGAGGACTTTTAAATTTGGAATATGGCGTACCCGAGCAAGTCTTTAGTCCACCTGAACCAGCCCCTGTCTTCGAGACTTCCATTCCGGACATAGGGGCACACTTGGATCACGCGATTGGGCCAGTAGCGCCACCACCGCCGCCACTACCGCCAGCCATAGCACATGTAGCTCGTTAGTATACTCGCTATCCTACTTTGTTTACATTTGTAATTAAAATTACTCATATTTCAATTTAATTTGATTTAATTTAATATTTAAAATTAACATCAGATAAACTGAAAATAATATAATTTTAAGTAAGCCTTTATTCCATCAGTGATCTATTGACCATTGATTCATTGTTCACTTATGGTTCAATTTTTAAAAATGGATGGTAATTTGCCAATTCTATAAAATATATAAAAAAAGTAAATGGAAGATAAGTTGTTAAATCTTGTTCTATATAAAAAATTTTAGTCTTCTGAATAAAAGGAAAATTTTTTAATTTTGTTTTATATAAGACATGTCAGTGTTCCTAATGGATATTTTGTGTTGGGTGTCCCAAAATTAACGCAAGATGTAATTTTGATAGAAAACACAGGTTTTTAATTAAAAATTGTAAATATTGTTCGACAATGTTTTCGTGTAGCGCTCCATTTTTAATAACCCTGAACTGTCAGCTGTCATGCCGTCTTCTTTTTCGTTGGCAATACTTTACCGTATAAATAGCGCAAAATTCAAATCTTGCGTGAATTTTGGAACACCTTATAAAAATGAACTTGACAGTTTACCAAGGAAATACAAAATGGTCAACGAAAGTCAATCAGAGAAGGACTATTGTTTAGGAAATTTGTTTGGTCATCAAGTATGAATTAATATACCTAATTCGTATTCTATGTTCAAGTTCAATTGGTTGCTCAAGGCCACCTTCTAAACTATGAATGGCGTCACTATGATATCTTTCATAGTTTCTACACACGTTTCCGTTATTACTCAAGAGCAGCTAAAGTGCATAAATTTCTCTTTCATGACACTACTGACACTTTGATAAAACTAATTAATTTTGTGTGTAGCATACTGATGACGATTTCAAAACATTATTGCTATTTGTAGTTATGTCGTTCAAAGTATAATTATTTGAAACGAGCAATAACTATGTACAATTTATTTTTAGTTTTTCCAACGAGATAGGAATTATTTTATTAATAATAATCAATAATAATTAATAATTATCAAGTTTGTACTTAAATGGAAAAAAGATTATCATAATTATTTTTATTATTCATGACGTTCACAATACTATTAATATAAATTGCACTAGTATTGAACATACGCATATACACGTACGTGTACTATAATTTTCTTATACGTGTTAACGATTGACATTATTTTAAAACTTCAAAGAAATAGAAAAATTTCATAAATTTTCGAGGCGACCTCTAGTGTAAGTTACGTACTATGCGTTCGAGAAAAGAAAATGATCAATTCTGCTGACGCTCCCTTGATCACAGGCAGTGACATCTATTGGCCGAAAACAGTAACAAAGATTATCGGTCGTTTTGGCTAATAACGCAAACGTATAGTAAGATAAATTACATCATTATGATTTTCTTCGCGATTAATTATAATCGCGATTAATGAATATTGATTTTACGTCTACGCCAATGCATTGAAGTTCGTCATGTCAATCGTTAATGTCCTACTTCAATTCGTTCTCCTCATCACGCGAAGTTACACGACCCTGCTTCTGTCAATGATGAAAATATGGATATCCTGTCTTTATGATCTTGTCAGTGCTACATTACGACACCATCAATCAATTACTCCACTTCTTTTTCACTACAATGCTCCAAATACAATTAACAGTGATATATATTAACCTTAAAGTGACGACGTGCGTCAAATTGACTTCATATCACTACAATAGTAATAACTCGAAGTCAAATTGACTCAGTATCGTCAGTGGTGACATTTACGTGTCTAGTAATATACGTCTACGTATATTACTAGATCTAGGTATTTAAGGATACGTCAAATTCGGAATCAATTTGATGTCAAGTCACCAGTATTAATAGGGAGTCAATTTGACGTCACGTTTATCTTTAGAGCTATGAAAATAGTGGTCACCAATTGAAGGTTAGTAATAATATATATAGATATATTATATACAGGGTGTTCCAGCAACGGTAGTACAACCGGGAAGGGAGTGATTCTACATGCAGAAACGAATCAAAGAAAAAGAATACAATTTTTTCATTCGTAGCTTCGTTGTCGAGAAAATCGACTTTGAATATTCACCGGGTACGCGTGCACTTAACTATGGCTTACCATGGATGGACCATCAGTATATTAGCGTATTCGGTGAATATTCAAAGTCGATTTTCACAATAACAAAGCTTCGAACGAAAAAATTTTATTCTTTATTTTCGATTTGTTTTTTCATGTAGAATTAGCTTCTTGTCGGTTGTACTACCGTTGCTAGAATACCCTGTATATTTATATTATTCGTATATTACATACACACTTGTGCAGCATGTATTCCTTTCTAATGCTGTACCAATTACAATATCCACCAATATCATCTTCAACTCTTCTATATGTAAATTAAGACAGTACATATAACAGCATATTTTATTTCTTATAACATATTTTATAATTTTTATTCGTAAACCCAGATGTAGAATCTGCACAGTAGCTTCAATTTTTCAATCATAACTCGTTCTACATTCGTATAATTCATGGCCACCATGGCTACTATGGCTACCTAAAACAAACGTCACCTCTAAATCTCTCATCTAAACGCAACTCTGTTTTACTTACATTAAATAGCTGCAGTTCCACTACCAGTTCCGCACCCAATTGCGCATCCGGTACCAATCGCAGTGCCTCAGCCAGTTGCGCACCCGGTTCCAGTCGCAGTGCCTCAGCCGGTTCCACACCCGGTCCCATTCGTGGTTCCAGTGACCAAACACGTGGCGGTGCCTGTACCAGTCGACCGAGCGGTCCCAGTGCCAGTGGATCGTCCCATTCCGGTACCAGTCGCGGTTCCAGTCCCAAAGCCGTATCCGGTTCACGTGGAGAAGATAGTGCACGTCGACAGACCCGTGCCTGTTCCCTTCGACAGGCCAGTTCACGTGCCCGTGGATCGACCTGTGGCTGTTCCTGTCCCTGTACCCAAACCGTTCCCGGTTCCCTACGAGAAAGTGATCCATGTGGACAGGCCTTATCCTGTGCACGTGGCCGTACCTTACCACGTGCCCAAACCTTTTCCTGTACCAGTTGCTGTTCACGCTCACAAATCCCATGGATGGCTCAAGTAAGATCACTTTGGGACATACTTGTTGGTACAAGAGGTTAACGTTAGAACTGTCGATGGTTAATCCTTGGAATTACTGATAGCTGATGCTATTGGAAAGTTTGGAATTGTTATCGTGCCTTTCTTCGAGCATCAATTGAACGATTTTTGTCATTTTAGTCGCGTGAACTGGGAGTGATGAGAGATTTCGTTTGGGTCTAATGGTTTCCTTTGGGGGTTCAAGCTGCGTTTACACGAGACGAGTTTGCTCAGGCTGCATAGTTGTTCGAGGTAATCGCTGTCGATTCAATGGAAACGATTTCTAATCGTTCTACCTGAAGGTGTCTCTTGGCTGCTTTTGGTGGGACAGCTCGGCGGTTTCAGCTGTAATTGATGCTGTTAACAATGTAGGATCGTTGAAAGGCTGAAATAACAGAAGTTTAGTTGGTGTTTCTCGATAAACAACTCGGATCATGCCTGGTCTGATGTAAACGCGGCTTTAAGGCTTGATGGAGTTCCACAGGTTAGGGATTATTGGGATTTAATAATGTAATTCACGTCCAGGTAATAGAAATGTAAATTATGGAATTAGTTTTCGTATTTATACTTCGTTGCACCAGGATTGAATATTAGGAAAATATTAAAGAACGTTGAAAATTATTTTTATGTATAACGTTCTCAACTATTACGTGGTAAGATATTCTCATAAGATTTTTATGGGGTAATTAAATACATTTCAAATTAAATTAACTCGAGTCTCGATTTTGATTATGTGCTGACCGATTAACAGAAAATAATTCCAAACTTTTAATTCAGGTAATACGTATTTCGTATTTAGAACAATCAAAATGACAGGTTTTCGAAAAAATTCGCAACAGAAAACAGGAGTAAAAGAGAATCTAAAAATAAAATATAGCAAATGTTAAAAAAGGAGAAGAAAAATTGGAGTAATTTTTGGAAAAAATTACAAACCAGTTATTTTGACTGCGTCGATAGTTCTCGCGTTAAATACGTAACTTGTTATTTCGATTAATCGTTTTTACAATTTTTTGATACTAGTCCGTTTTAATAATATTGTTACTAGCTGATTGTTAATCATGGTTATAACGATTATTACATCATTAGGTTCTGTAAGATACCAAAAGAACGTAATGTACAGCTAGTGCAGTACTGACTGACACTAACACTGCCAACAGATTTTTGTATTAACAAATTTCTTAATACGTGTATGTGTAATTGTATAAAATGGAGCTAATAAAGTTGTTTTTTAGCAAATACTATTCGTTCCTTAATTATGTAGAAAATTTTATATACTAATTTTACACGAATTTTGATCTGTAATATCCATTAGATCATTCTTGTACAGTTTATTTTACTAAACACGAATGCGTAATTGAAATTGTTCCACCACACTCAGATTTCGAAAATTGTGTTTTTTCTAAAAGCAAACAATTTTTAGCTAAAATGAATTATTACATAAAAAATGAAAATGTTAGAAGGTTAAAGTTAGGTTAGAATATTCCGAGTTTATCAATATCCATAATTGTACCTATTTGTATTTCTGAATAATTATGACTGGTCAACAAACTTTAAAAAAAGGTCGCCGAACGTACTTTCTACGTACTATTTTTGCGTTTTTACAAAAAGTTCTTTATTTGACACGAATTTTCTACTCAGTATCGTATTCTGCAGGCAGTTTTCATTTCGATTAAATCGAGAAAATATTTGTCGGTACGTATATACAGGATTTTACCGTAACGTAACCTTTGCCCGCTTTTCTAATCTTGGCAGTGCCGTAGCTATGCGTAATCCGAGTACCAATGGAAATAACATATTACAGTCTGCAAAAAAAAAAGAAAATAAATACAAATAATAATACAAATAAGTTCAAAGGGAACTTTGAAAATTTGCAGTAGACAGGAAATATCTTGAACTTATTACTGACTTATATATAACTTATAATTTAATAATAACTAATTAATGACTAATTTATAATTAACTTATAACTAACTTATAAGTAGCTGATAACTAATATTTCAACTTTGGTGCATAAACCTTAGCTTGGTATCGTTTCAAAAAAATTGTTCTTTGGAAAACGATATCAATTACCAGGCTCACCACGTGAAGGTGGCTACGTAGTTTACCTTTGTACGCATAGCACGCACATGAAACTTACAATTAGCCTAGGGATTTATCTTATGGTTACAAATAACTACTTAGGTATATACGCATGGATCCCGCGACGTTCAACGATGTCTTTCGAATGAAATCTTGAAAAACTTGAAAACCTAAAAAGAATATAGATAAACCTGAAAAGAAAAGTAGACCAGCCATTATTACGGACGATCGGTAAGTTGGCTAACGCCTGGAAAACTAGATACAATAGAGTTCAAACTCTGAAGTCCTGCAAACAATGGAGTGTACCAGTTACATCTGGAAAAATTCTTCATAAAGAAAAGAAAGTGATTGGAATGAAAGCAGTGAGAAGACGAAATGCACAGTACGTTGAATCAAGAAACATGAAAGGGGCAGCAGATGTATCAACAGAGAAGGATGTGTGGCATCGACATGCAAATATAAGGATCATAGAAGAGATGGAGAATGAGCACTTGGTAATAGTTATAAAAATTAAAGATAATTGAATATAGAATGTAAATGTTGCATTAAGGCACAAATGTGTAGAAATATCTATGGCAACTTGGAAACTGTAAAAGCAGCAGGAACAATGGGGC